TAAATTTGTTAAATTTCTATTTATGTTAATATTAAAATTTAAAATAATTACAATCATTCAAAAAATCTTAATAAAGTAACGGTAGTTTCAGTATTAAAAATCGATCTTTTAATACTTAGATGCACAAAAGCTTGCATCGAAACGAGTAGTACATTTTCTCACATAAGCCATTAAGTAAATTAATATATCTATTTTATAGCGTATAATAATAATAATTAATAATAATTTAATTCATTTGGTACAGGCAGGTATCGCTCGATTGCAGAGCTAAAAAGTAGCTGTACGGCAACGCCGGCATCATACAATCGATATGTGTATCGCTTAAACGAGTTGGCAACGCCAGCATCTTATCGATAATGTATTGACTGTGTGAAGAAGCAGTGCAAGCACCATAGATTATCATATAACTTGCAATTTATACTTCAATACTCAAAACTGTAAAGATAATGTCGAATGCAACTATACACATAGTTCCTGCAGCGCCCCGCGGCGATATTATTAGGTTGCAAAACATTATATCCAAAATAGAGGACGATTTGAGGACCACAAATGAAAAACTTGGCAATTTGCGGCAACTAATCAGAACCGAATCGAATATAAAATCGCGAGATATTTACTTAAATAAGGTCTGTGATATGGTGAAAGAACAACATAGAATACGGAGCATACTGCAGAGTCACAGATCAAAGTTGAAAAGATTGGAATCTAAAAAAAAACTGGTAAGGATAGGCCCTTAATAGGATATTCTACGTACCTAATTAATTTTGTATATCTTAAAGAAATTTGTTACAAAGCCAACTCCACAGCAAGCAAAAAATTCAAAGCTGCTCGAACTATTCCATAATTATGAGACGAAAGTAAGTAAAAAGTTGCTTATGATTTGTTAGAAATAAATTATAAATTATCTTAGGAAACCGGTGGTGACACTCAGACTGTTCGGAACTCTGAAGTACCAGTAAGTAAAACACAATCCATAAAAAATTAAATAATAAAGATTTAAATATTTTATAGAAGCGAAAATTTTTGGATAAAGAAGAGGAACTAAATGTTGAAGACAAGCCAGCCAAGCAAATTATCATCGACAATCATGGCAGGACAATGAAATGTTTGAAGGCTCATGTAAAAAAGCGCATTACTGAGGAGGAACAGAAGCTTGTTGTTCCACAAATTGTAAAAGTGGAGCAAGCGAAATATTCAGATGATGATACCTTGACTTTGGAAGAGACGAAACCAGAGACTGAAGAGCTTCATATATCGCAAGACGAGAAGCTTGTAGTTAAAATTGAAATAGATGAGGAATCGAAATATATTAAAGAGACAGAACGAATAGAAGAGGAGAAACCAGAACTGTCTGTCAAGACTCCCCAAGCAAATACTACCGTGATAAACAATCACAGAGATGCGATGCAATGCCTAAAGGCTCTACAGGAATATGCAATGTTAAATGAAAACTATCGAGCTATAGGACTTTTAAGTGAAACTGAAAAGGCATTCGCAAGTCCAGCGGACGACACAGACTTCGAGCTCTAGCATTAGTATAGAGCATGTACTCCATATTTGCATGTGTGTGTGTTGGCTAATTATTTTAAGTCGATTTAAGAGTTTATGTACATTTGATGTCTTGTGCTAGCAAGCATTCTCCAATTGATTCATTTTAAGTAAAGTATTTACAGAAATCGTTTTGTTTTATATTTACCTTAATTTAGTGTCTTGCTGAAAAGCGACCGGCAAGAGGAAATGGACAAACTTAGGATTTAGTATTTTTCGAATCAGCTGTTCCTCTGCCAGTATATTATGTTCATCAGCTGTTGTTCTGACAACCAATTCTGTTTGGTATTTTTTAGTTTATTCTGTTATTGATAAACGGGCACATGCGCGTTTCACAGCTATAAACAAATTCTGAAAATTCGACATTTCTGCAAAAATGTGAGTATGCGTCTAGAAGTGCATTACAGTTAGATGTTATTTCTTTTTTTTTTTTTTAATTTTTTTTTTCAAAAGGAAGTAAATATTACTCGAATTGCATGTAATATATATTCACTTTGTCGACAAGTGAATTCTGATTGAAAGCAGACTATAACAAATGGATAAATCAACAGGAGACGAAATTACTAAGCCGCCGGCTCCACGCAAACGTCTCGGCCGTCCGCCCAAGGCCAACGCACAAGAGTCTGAATTGACTGAAGAGATGGAACCGCCAGCCGAGGAGCGCACTTCGTCGTCATCGCCAACAAATTGTCGGCGAAGCACGCGCAAGAAAATCGTAAAGTTCGATGTGCTGGATGTACTCAACAAGAGTCGCAAAACTCACAAAATACAAATCGAGGCACGAATTGATTCCAATGCRCCAACAACAACAACAGCATCCACAACACAATTAGCAACGAGCTCGGCTACTGTGGCAAAACCTGCAATCGAGGTCAATCGCTTATTTACACCACGACCGCCTCTGCCTGTGATTTCGCCTTTGCTTCCGCTGGACATGTTTACCAAGCCAAAGCCAACGCCCAGCTTGATTGTTGCCCAGGTGAGCAGTGATAAGACGCCCACTGCCAATCAGCAACAGCAGCCGCAGCAATCACAGCAGCAACAGCAACAGCAGGTGATACGTAAACGTGGACGTCCGCGCAAATCACAGATCACAGATAATGCAACTGCAGTTGATTGCCCCAAAGTGAGCATAGATTCTACCAAACTCTTGCCGAGCGCCAAGGAACAAGCTCTTACTTTAAAACGCGAATCGCCTGACTCGGATGAGTCTCTGAAGAGTTTCTCAATCATTGTTGATGATGAAACGAATGTTGAAGCAGTGCCTGAGGAAAACGATGCTTTGGATGACACAATTGAAGTGATAGAGACTGATATTATATCCGTGGCATCCGATGAAGATTCAGATTCGCAAATTATATTTGTGGACATAGAAACGGCGAAGATGGAAGCTGAAGAAGACGCAGAAAATGACGAAGTCCATATTACAGCTGAAGAGACTCGCAACTTTAAGTTAATTTTTCCTAAGGAAAATGAAAACATGGAATCCGAAACGCCACAGCAGATTAGTATTGTGGAGGAAATACCAGGTGAAGATAATATTGATGACAAAGAATCAGAACTCTTGGCTGAAGTGTTAAGTGAGCCGGCAGAGCTTTGGTTTACTGAGGATGAAAGGGATGAAGGAGACCAAGAATCTCAAGACGAAAAGCCAGAAAAGAAATCAAATATTGAAGTAGCAAAAGAACTGCCAAATGAAGGTTTAATTAAAAGTAAGACTCCGGTACAAAGCATTGAAAAGGAGACTAAGCCAACCTCTGAAGTAGCTGTAAAATCCTCTAATTTAGAAAGTAAAGTTAAAATTGAAGTACAACCGGTAAAGAAGGAGCTGGAATTGTCAGCAGCTATGGAAGACCTGCAAAAGAAGGTCATCATGAAGAATGAGGCTTCATCCATGATAAACAACGAAGATAAGGCTAAGGTGAAGAAAGAGCTGTCAAAGGAAGTCAACATGAAGAAGGAGCTCTACTTGCCGAGCTCATCAGCCACAATAGATAACGAAGATAAGATTACTATTAAAAAAGAGTTGCAAAAGGAAACCAAAATGACCAAGGAGGTCTCTTCAGTCATACAAGAGAACAACGATGAACCACATGAAGCTGTAAAACAATCGGAACAGTTAAAGCAGAGTGCAACTCCGACTTCTGCAAAAGAACCTGTCGAGAAGATGAAAGATGCCCACTTCGAATTGGAATCTCTGAGGCGAGCTGCAAAAGCGACAGGCATTGAGTTAAAGCTTCCCATGACAATGGAAAAACTTTTAAATGCCAACTCTGTAACAGAGCCAGTAAAGGAGGTCGAAGCGAAGAAGGAAGCTATTAAGAAGCAACCAAGCTTGGACACGAATGAAACATCAGCAGCGACGCTTGAAAAGACTGATTTGGCTGCAAAGCAACTGCAGCAGCACTCAGATGCAGTTAAATGCGAAGAAACAGATCCAAAGCTTAAATCAACAAAATCCGCTCCAGAAGAGCACAACTCTGAATCGGTGGACACAAAACCAATAGCTAGTGAGAAAGGGAAAGCAAATGAAGGTGCCAAGTTAGAGAAGTCGTCAGCCTCCTACGCTGCGTTCGTAGAGTGTGATGCACTCTTTAAGGTGTTGGATAAAGCAAACGAACAGATGCGTCACGAAGAGAAGGCCAAAAAGAAGTCAAAGCTGGCCACCAAAAAGCAGTCAACCGAACAGCTGCAGGAACGGGCCACGCCTCAGTCTCGTGGGAAAAAGCTAACATCACAGGAAAACAGCCGCCGTAATACCATTTCCGAGGAGCGTCACGAAGACGTGAAATTGCCGTTGAGCAATAAACGCCGTAACTCCGTGCACCCTTTCAAGCCTACGTTGAGTCCAGAGCGAGCGACGGAGTCGGAACCCAAGCAAAGCTCCAGCAGCAGCAACAAAAAGAAATCAGCTCAGAAAAAGCCAACGCGCAAGGCAACAAAACCAAAGCAGCTGCCAAGCAGCCAGGATTCGCTGGATTCTAGTTCGAGCTCATCGACAAGAGCTGGCGATTTGCCGAGTCGCAGCTTGCCGACGCCCACTTCTGAGCTAGAAGCATCCAATCCGCTACACGACATAGCCAAATTCATAGAGGATGGCGTCAAGTTGCTCGAGCGCGACTACAAAGTGGAGGATGAACAGCAGCAACAGCCAGACCAGCAGCCACAAGAGGAGGCCACTGAAGATGAGTTAGCGCAGCGTGTGGCTAATTTGGAAACGCCTGTTAACACGCCAGCTCCTTCGCCGGTTGGCAGCACAGATGATCTGTCAGCGGGTGTGCGCCGCTCGCATCGCATCAAGCAGAAGCCGCAAGGTGCCAAATCGAGTTTAGGTCGTGGTAGCAGCAGCCAAACGCCCACGATTAGCATGGAGCAGCAGCTAAGTGAGCTTGCCCACATAGAAGCCATCAATGAACAGTTCTTGCGCCAGGAGGGCCTAAACACGTTCCAAATCCTGCGCGACAATTACTATCGCTGTGCACGCCAGGTGAGCAAGGAGAACGCGGAAATGCAATGCGATTGCTTTGTCACCGGCGACGAGGAGGGACAAGGGATGCGCTGCGGCGATGGCTGCATCAATCGCATGCTCATGATCGAGTGTGGTCCACTGTGCAGTTACGGTGACCGCTGCACCAATAAGCGATTCCAGCAGCATCAGGGCTGGCCCTGTCGTGTCTTTCGTACGGAGAAGAAGGGCTGCGGTATCACAGCCGAGCTGCAAATACAGCCTGGGGAGTTCATCATGGAGTATGTGGGCGAGGTGATCGACAGCGAGGAGTTCGAGCGTCGCCAGCATCTCTACTCGGAGGATCGCAACCGCCACTACTACTTCATGGCGCTGCGTGGCGAGGCGATCATCGATGCGACCACGAAGGGCAACATCTCGCGCTACATCAATCACAGCTGCGACCCGAATGCGGAGACACAAAAGTGGACAGTGAATGGAGAGCTGCGCATTGGCTTCTTTAGTGTGAAGACCATCATGCCTGGCGAGGAAATCACATTCGATTATCAGTATCAGCGCTATGGGCGCGATGCGCAGCGCTGCTATTGTGAGTCGGCCAACTGTCGTGGCTGGATTGGGAACGAGCCGGAGTCTGATGAGGGCGAGCAGCTCGATTCGGAGACCGAAAGTGAGCCCGAGTCACTGGTTGAGGAGCTACGCCCAGAGCAGGAGGCGAAGACCAAAACACCCAAAAGTAAATCTAAAAAACAACTTAAGCTGCCAACGGCACGTAAGCAGCGCAAAGAGCAGCCCAAGGCCAAGGATCGTGAATACAAAGCGGGCCGCTGGTTGCGCCCTTCCGGCGGCATTGGGGGCGAGAAGTCGGCAGCCCGTAAGCTCGATCAGCTCGAGGACACAGACGTACTCGAACAATTGACGCTGCTAGGTCGCAGCGGACTCAAGAATCAGCTGGACACATTGCGCCTATCGCGTTGCATGGTGCGTGCCAAGCTACTGCAGAGTCGCCTTCAGCTGCTGGGCGTGCTAACGCGTGGCGAGCTGCCATGCCGTCGTCTCTTCCTTGACTATCACGGGCTGCGCCTGCTGCACGCATGGATCAGCGAGAGCGGCAGCGATAAGCAGCTGCGTCTGGCGTTGCTCGAGTCACTTGAATCTCTGCCCATACCCAACAGGACGATGCTGAATGATAGTCGCATCTACCAGAGCGTAGAGCTTTGGGGCAGTCAGTTGGCGCAGCCAGCGGAGGCAGCAGCAGAATCCCAATCTGATGACGAGGAATCGATGCGTCAACGCATTGCAGCGCTGCTACAGAAATGGAATGGACTGCCCGAAATCTTCCGTATACCCAAACGTGAACGCATCGAGCAGATGAAGGAGCACGAGCGCGAGGCAGATCGCCAGCAACACGTGGCCACTGCTCTAGGAGACAGTAATAACGCCTCTTCCGTGCTCAGCACCGATCGCTATAGACAAGATCGATTTAGGCGCGACACTAGCAGCCGCTATGAGAAATCAAAGCCGCCCACGAGAATGAGCGGCAACAATACCATCTGCACGATCACCACGCAACCCAAGGAATGGCAAGGCTCCGCGGAGGGCAGCAGTGGCAGCAAGTCTGAGAGTCGCAGACGTTCAGAGTTTGATCCGCGTCGAACTATATCCAAAGAGTTGCGGCGATCGCTCTTCGAGAGAAAGGTAAGAGGACCACAAAAGCTCAGGCAGAGATTTTACTTTAAAATCTGTATTCCTCTTATAGGTGGCTCAAGATGAGGCAGAGAAGCGTGTGGGCAGCGAGGATTGGCGTGAGCATGAGCTGCGCTGCGAATACTTCGGCGCAGATTTGAACACAGATCCAAAGCTGCTGCCATTTTACCAGAACACGGAGACCAATGAGTGGTTCAACAGCGAGGATGCTCCTGTGCCTGCGCCATTGCGTTGCGGCGACATTGCGGCGCCACCATCACCGGAACAGGAGGAGGATGTGGAGTATAAGCTGCCCGCTGGTGTAGAGCCATTGCCGCCCTCATGGCACTGGAGCATGACACCCGAAGGAGATATCTACTATTATAATCTGCGTGATCGTATTCCGCAGTGGGAGCCACCGAACGCTGAACAGCGTTTGCAACAGCTGGTGGAGGATTCTCCAGAAAAAGAATTGGTACCGGATGAGGCAGCCAGCTCATCGGATTTGGTTAACATTGACATCGACTACGTGGGGAGCCTGAGCGCCAAGTCTCTGGCCCAGTACATTGAGGTAAAGATACGGGAACGACGCGAGATGCGGCGCAATCGCTTGGTCTCTGTGCGCGTGATAAGTCCACGTCGCGAGGAGGATCGTCTCTACAACCAGCAGGAGTCACGCAAATACAAGGAGAATAAAGAAAAGATACGCCGACGCAAGGAAATTTATCGACGCACACGCAACGAGACAAATACTGTTCAACCAGCACCTGGAGAGCCCAGTGATTCGTTACCCATTCATGGGTATTTGTACTCCTCCGATGAGGATGGTGCCACTGAGGGCGCCTGCAGCCTGCCGCTGCTAGACGCGGCAGTTGATGGCGATAAGGAGTTGCCGGAGTCACTTAGTCGTCGTCGCTCACTGCGTGCATCGTCGCCATCGTCCACCAGTTCCACTGACGCTGCAGAGTCGTTGCCAAGCGCTAAGCGCAAGCTACTTATGACAGAGAGCCAAAAGAAGCATCGGGACAGTAAGCGCAAGAGGTAAGCATACCATTCGTTCATTAAATTACTTTATACTCAAAGCCTCTGCGAATCTCTGTAGTTTGACAACCGGACGCGAAGCCAGCGATAAGTTTCACTTTGAGATTAGCGGCCATGTGGCCGAGTTTTTGCGTCCCTATCGCCAGGAGAATTGCCAGCTGGGCCGCATTACAAGCGACGAAGACTACAAGTTCCTAATTAAGCGAGTAAGTGTGATTGTTTATAATATTATAAACTATGTCTAATGGGCTATTCTTGCAGCTGAGCCACCACATCACCACCAAGGAGATGCGCTACTGTGACATGACCGGCAACCCGTTGGCCTGCACAGAATCGGTTAAGCACAAGTCCTACGACTTTATCAAACAATATATGCGCAAAAAAGGGCCCGTCTACAAGAAGCCGGTTGATAAGCCCGACTAATTCATTGACTTTTTCATACAACAATATTTTCCTTAAAGCTTTTGGCTTATAATATTAGCATAAGCAATATACAATGTATATCAAATGGATATTTGTTTTTTATTTTTATAATTTTACCTCATGTCGGGTAAAGAAACTTTAAAGTTAACTTTAAGTACTTATGCATAAAATGTAACTGAATACATACATTTTTTTTTTTTAATTTTGATATGTGCCAAAACTAATAAATTTATTATTGGTGTCAATGAAAGGGCACTCAGGTATACTACGATGAATTCATGAAGTATGTAGTGAAGTATGTTTAAGTTTATGTGTCTGCTGGAAAATCTGGACCATAGTTGTTAGTTCATATGTATACATTATTGAAGTTAATCAAAATCTGAAAAAGAAATCAAATAAATGAAGTTTCCCCTCCCTTACACTGAAAACATGTTTATTTTATTTTTTAATTCTACAAACTTTTTTTACTGTATAATTTAATTTATTTTAAGTTTGCCTAAAATTGACAGATTGGCAGAAATTCATTTATTTATTTATAATAATTGCTAAACAAATAACTTAATGTAAAGTGGAAACCAATTATCAACTCTATTACGCACTTTTTTGAATTTTTGCAAGTACACAACAAATAAGTTAAATGCATTTGTTTAAATAAATTCAGACCTGCGCTCTCTGTCGCCCCCATTCGCAGCTCGCGTACGCTCTGCTTACACACACTAAAAATAGCAACAAAAGCAAGCGCGCACACATACACACACATAGAGGTAGGCACCTGCGCATGTATGGCACACATTCACGATCAGAGAGCGACACAGAGTAGAAGAGAGCGAGAGAAAACAGAGCAGTGCGCTCTCTCACTCTCCGTAAACAAGTTTGTAGAACTCGCCAAACCTGATTTTCCAGCTGTCTCAGAGAGATTGCAAACCTCGTCAGTTGCAACAAATTGCTCCTACGCTCCACACGTTGTGAGCGGAACGTTATTTACCGGATGGTTGGTGTGTGCCTAAAAACCTGCTGCAGATTTCGATAATAGCAGGTAAGCGTAGGGCTTATCTGAAAGCAATTGGATAAGCACGTCAATTACTGAACTATAAACGAAATTGAATTGCTTTTTTATTTCGTACAGGCGTTGCCATATCAGCGTTCGACTGCGTTAGAGAAGAGCCAAATATTGAAAGTGAGAGAAAGAGCAAGAGCGTGGGCGAGAGAGTGAGAGTGAGAGTGCGAGCGCATGAGAGTTTCCGTTAGCTGTTGCCGTGTGTGCGTGAGCGTGCGGAACAGAGCAAATGTCTGACGTAAGTACAAAAAACAAACAAAAAGAGTTCATCAAATCGTTAGGCGGTAATTTCCTACTAGAGCAGCTAGTAGACAAATTTATCTGATCAGGTTTAACTGGAAAAGCATTGAAAGATTCCCATTATATCTAATTTCAAACGAAAACAAAGGCAGTAATGTGAGAACACACTAAATGAATTTGAGTCTTTCAATAACATAGTGACGTTATGCTTTCAGGACGACGCCATTTCACTTGGAGCTGGTTCTCAGCGCATACGTAACGTCTTGACCCTGGAGGAGCGTGTGGAGGTTATACGTCAATATGATATCATGCCCACGTACAGCAAGCTAGCCAAGAACTTCAACTGTAGCTGGGAGCAGATCAAGAGCATTGTCGCCAATCGGGAGCCCATTATGGAATTCTATGAGGCGACGCGCCACAACAACAAGAAGCCACCGAATTCCAAGTTCGAGGAGTTGCGCAGGCGAAAGATTAATTTTCTGGGCCATTGCCTATATGAGTATATTCAACGCGCTCAGTTCTATCTGCACGTAGATATCAACGAGGAGCTAATACGTACTAAGGCTCTAGATTTTCAGACTCTAATGGGCTTTGAGAACTTTGTGCCCAATAAGGTGAGATCTGGAATAATGGTATATTAATTTGATTGAGCTTATCTATTTCTTTGTCTCGTTCTCTCCATTAAAGTCCTGGATCAATCACTTCAAGGCCGCTTACAACATCACACTCTCAAATCGTCAGATTGTCATGACACGGAAGCCACCTCGCTCACTGGATCTCCGGGATATAATGTCCTATTGTTGCAAGAATATGCCATCGAACTTCGGCAAGTTGCCTGACTTGCCTGCTCCTGCTCATGTTACGGCCAACAGCACGCAGCCAGCGGCAATGCCGCTGCAGGGGAGCGTGCCAGCCACAACTGGGCTGGAGGCCGTGCAGTTACCACGAAAGCGCGATAGCTGTGGAACGGCCAAAGACATACGCTCCTTGTATCGCACCAAGACTTTGGTTGAAGCATCTACTCAGAACCAGGCCACATTGGATGAGCTGCAGCTGCGGCGCAAGCGTAAAATTAACTTTTTGGAAAAGGCGCTGTTCGAGTACATTTCGCGCTCGCAGCTCCACCACAAAAACAAGGGACGCCTCGATGTGGATCACCTGCGCGAGGTGGCGATCAATTTGCGCGACATACTCAAGATCGATAACTTCTTTCCGGATCGCACGTGGTTCAATCACTTCAAGAGCCATTACAACTTTAGCTTTTCTCAGGGCGTGCACTACGGCATGATGCTGCGCCGAGTGCCCCTCTCTCTGGATCTGCGTGACATAGTCAGCTACTGCAGCAGGCACGACCAGCGCGACCAATCGATGGGGAACATCACACTAACACCCAAGGAGCCAGAGTCAGCCCGCTTAGTGCAACTGCCACTGGCGGACCCGAAGCCGGCGGTATCATCCAATGAATCAAATATAGCAGTCGAGAACGATGATGACTGCATAGCTATTGATGAGCCGCCTGAATTAATCGAGATCAAGGATGATGATGAGGAGCCAGACAGAACTGAGCTCAAGCGCCACGCTGCACAAGATTCCATACCTAGTCTACCTCTAAAGATACAAAAGATTGAATCATTGAATCCCGGTGCCCACAGCACGGGTCACTTTTCCGAAGACGGCGCTGATGCGGAGTCATTGCCTCGGCGCGTTACTAACTATAAGGATGCACTGCGTCTGCTGAAGCCACTCGAAGAGTTTGCACTGCTGGAGGAGAACTATCGTGCCATTGGCCTTCTCACTCAGCTCGAGAAGATCTTCGAGGGTGCAGTGCAACAGGTGCAGAACGACAAATAGAGTTTTGATACTTGCAAATGAGAACTTTAACTGAAATTCAAACCAAAAAATGAGAATGTTGGCTTAGCTATATGTATAACAGATCTATATATTGTATATATATATATAGTATATATATAAGGAGTATATTCATTATTCATAATGTATTATGAGCTTTGCTCGCTAAAATTTGGGAACATTAAGAATTGAACTATATTAAAAGTTTATTTTTGTTATAAAAACCAAAGCTTGTACATAGTAATGAGAGATGGGGAAGTTTGATATATTCTAATTTCAATAAATTATAGACATATATTCCAAGTCTTAGTCGTACATTTCTAAGTCTGCGCTCGTAAATAATTCATTAAACGTTAAGTAAATGGAAAAGTCATATTTTGGGCTATAACCGGTTGGGTTCACAACTGGTTTATAGTATTTTGGCCGTTTGCTTTATAGTTGCGTTCTAATTCTCATCGAATCTGGTTTCTGGTTGCCATTAATAGTCATATAACATCTATATTCGATTGATTAATGGCCTCTTTAATGACTTTGGCTCAGCGAAGGTCAAATGATTTGAAATCAGTGAAGTGTGGCTTATACCCAACATTCTAGATGAGTGGTTAGCCCATATACCTGCATATAAATTTGTGTTCATCAAGCATAATTTGATAAGGGAAGTCGTTATATATATTGTGGGAATTACATGGAAATATAAGTATATGTGCATATATTGAATATACTATATAGACCAGCTAGGCTATGGTTACTCGAGTGTCTCGTCACGTGGCCCTCTGCTACATTCACTCTACAAGGTGCAATGCACACATGCTGCTCGGGTTACATAAACCGTTTGGCCCTTTACGAACGAAACATACAATCAGCGCTTAAACTTTACGCTCATCCTGTAAAACTTTACGCGTCCTGGCCATTTGTAGATGGGAGCAGAAAATGACCTGCGGTAGCGATGGGCGGGCCAGCTAGGGGGCTGGGCGAGCTCTGCCGCAGGACTTGGCTTGGCTGGGTAAGTTGATTTGGCGGGTGAGCGAGCGTGCATTGAACGTGCGTGGAGCAGAGCGCTGTAGGTGGTATATCAATTTCAGATGGCTAGAATATCGCAGCAGGCAGCGGACAGTGGGGAGTGTCTGTCCGACACTCCAGCAGCCCGGTTAGGAACACACACACTCACTCAATCACACACACACACACACACACAAACACACAGAGATACAGCTATGCTTACATAGATGGAGCTACGATTACACAACCGTCCATATAGCTGGGAGCATTGCACAGAGGATGCCTTCATCGCACTCCGTTGAGCCAAAGTTTCGTTTTTCGCTTTTGCTTGCAACCCTCCTCAACGAGCAGGACTTTCATTTCAAGGATTTCCGAACCGACGTCAGACGTCAACCAACGCTCCGACTATACACGTTAAGAGTATAGAGAATGTAGCTATAGAAAACCCACTAGTGTTTGGTTGTAGGTGCAGCACAGGAACCTTGCGGCATTAAGGCGGTGAATATAAGGAGGTGGTGGAGGAGGACGCGAAGGAGGAGGAGGTCGAGAAAGCAAGGTGATGAATACGAAGCGGACCAGAAGAAGCAACATCAATGCAAAAACGACAACGACAACTGGAGTCGACTCAGGTTACGGCTTGGAATAAAAATTGAAGCCCCAGCCAGTTCGAAGTTCTGACATAAAACCCCGCTGGCCAAAACGAAAGGGACTTAAAGGCATTAAACTTCATATACATACATATAAAGCACATGTGAAGGGTAGAGCTACCTGTATTTAAGGGTGGGCACAGCTGTTGAGGATTATACTGCGAGGATAGTAAAATAAGACTTAAGCCGAGCCAATTTCAGAATATTGATCAGCTTGCGAGAGCAATGACGGCGCTAGCTGAAAGATACTCTTCGATTCATAGATATTGTGGCATTTCCTGCACAAACTATTACACAATACTTTCATGGAAACCTTAACTGGTTTTCGTTAATAATATAGCAAATTGACTCATATTTGCATTTCAGTCATCAACTTATTGTAATACACTTTAAGTCTCTATTCTATATGACATTAGTCATTTGTTTTATGTCTTTAATATAACTTTATTAGCATTATACAAATATTATTTATTGATTTCTCTAAAATAAGTATGTATAACAATGTTATAATGGTATTTCCAAATGTCGTTTGAAGGCATATTAAGAAAAAGAAAAAAAAAAAAAAAAAAAGAAAATATCAACAAGGAATATATGAATATGTATATATCCATATTATAATACAGAGGAATATTATTTCTATATATATCTTACTCAATCGTATACTAAATAAATAGATTTATTGTACTAAAGTCATTTCTACTTGCATAATCCCTGATTCATAAATCTTAAATAGATAAAAGATTTAACACTTAACCAATAAAGTCCCAAAAATTATTGGCCAAGAAATTCATATACAATATATTCAAAAAATCACTTAAAGAGGTAGACTGGTTTTTACTTTTTGTATATATAAGACTGACTCATAGCTCCGACATTCCATAACAACTGTGCTATCTGATTGACTTTTCAATTGATTGTATATATATGACTCGGCTGCTATTTATACATATACTTATTTGGTACACTCTCTGTCTCTTTCTGTATGTGTGTGTGTATTTGTATAGATCATATCGATTCTTCTTAAAGGCAGCCCATCTACAAACATAAATCTCTTGACGCTGCTGTCGACTCAGCTGAGCTGAACCGATGTGAACTAAACGAACGGACCCCGTAACTGAAAAGTATATCAGCACTCGAAATCGAGCCATAATCGATGCCATTGTATACCAAAAACGAACGAGCTCTCTCGCATATAGAGCCAAAAACAGTAAATCCGAAACGTCGTGCCCCGTCGCCATGTGTAAGAGCAGAGCAGAGTAGAGCAGCGAGGTTATCGTGCAAGACTCTATGAATACGAGTCCCAATACGAGTAGAGTCGTGCGTCGTACTCGAAGTTTTATAGATATAGATACTGAGAGATACATACAGAATGGGAAAAGATGAGAGGAAGGGGCATGGCTTTGCCAATTGGTGGTGAGTGGAAACGAGTCTCAGTCTGAAACATCGACTGACACCGACACCGACACAGAGACGCAGGCGGAGGCCGGGACTGAGTCTAAGTTAGAGTTTGAGATTCTCTGTAGCCTCGACATGGGCAGACATCGACGGCAGCTGCTCCGGTTGATGATGCTCAAGTATTTGGGTTGTAAGCCTCTTGGGCTCCTCAAATATATATACTTATATATGCATGCATATATATATAACATGCTGTTGTTGCTGTTGTTGTTGGCATTGCTTCAATTCCATAGGCATCATTGAGACCCAGAGCCAGACGATGATGGCACTTGAGCATCAGCTCCAGCACAGCCAGTTCTCGACTGGCTTAGACTCTAAGGGGAGGCATCGGGGCTATCAGCCATGCCATTCTCCTTCAATGCTGATGACGATGTTGCTGCTGCCGCTGCCGTTGCTGCTGCTGTTGCTGATGATGATGCTGCTGCTTTCAGTTTTCAGAGTTCAGTTTCCAGCTTTCAGTCATGCGCCCGAGCGACCCGCATTCATTCGGATTCGTTCGGTCGGTCGCTCGTTCGTTCTGCTGGCACAGCTTTCGATAGATGCTAATCTATCTTTATTGTACAAAGATGTCGAGAGGATGTGTATGCGAATTGTGGATTGGGGATTGGGGATTGGAGCTTGGGGACTGGGGAATTCGCTCACAAAGACGACAGTCGGTGCGACAGTCAGTTCAGTTGTTCAGTTGTTCTGACTCTCTTTTTCGGAGGGGCTGGCTATAAATACAAATGGTCTTTGGGCATTTGTATGTATTGGATTTCACTTGGGTTCGATTTTGGTATGAGCTACGTTTTAGGGAAGCCAAACGACTTTTATATATGCTGCATACAATACACACATACCTTTTTCGAAAGGTATTATTAGAGTTAGGTGGCTCTCAAACAGTACAGTTGTGTTGCTTTCAACTATTTGTGGAAATCTCTAGAAAAATAGAAAGGTACTTTTCTATTGATATACATAAAATATTAGATGTATATTCCCTGATGGGCAATTATTAGTTAAATGTATTAATTTAATTTATATTAATTGTTAGCTTTAAGTCTTTTCCCCTTATCTGATTCCAATTATATATATTGTAGCCCAACTAACTATTAAAAGTGATCTCATGTCCGCAAAATGAACATTCATTGCAAGATCATTAACAATACTCTGATTCATCAGCCTAGAAAAGTCCCTTGTTATTAGAATAAATCAGTTACTAATTTTTGTATACAGTAATATATATGACCTCGTACCTCTCAGTTATTGGTAATGGTAGGGCATTTCGCAGTCGTATATGACCCATGTCTAATATACAAACACAGTGTAAAGGATCAGCATCATTCATTCATAATCTATGGATCGGGTTTTAAATGATCGTATATACGACACGTTCTTTGAGTTTTTCGTTTACTTCTTTCATTTGGTGTGTTTTTTTATTTTTTTTATTCAGTTTTCCAGTTCCAGTTTTCCAGCTAAGCCAATCGAATCGAATGGCGGGCAGAGAATACAACACGAGAGATATAAAGCCCAGATATGGAAATGGCAATAAACTCGTATACATAGGCGACGAGGGAATTGGGATTACTAACTGACGCTGGCAGCGACGTCAACGTCGACGCCGACAGCACTGTGAAGTGGCTGCCAACGAGGCCACTGGCACCGACCATAGGAAGAAGCGAATGGCACAAAGGAAATTACGAGGAAAAATTCAGGTCCCTATAGACTGCAAATAGAATAGATACGCACCCATACATATATATATATATTTATACACACACAAATGAATATATATATATAGAGAGAAGTGAGCTGCATATAGATTATAGGGCACACAATGGACGAGATGTAGAGATACGAGAGTCGAGAGCCGGGAGTCGGAGATACCTTCAGCTAAAGCAACTACAATAGCAGCAGCGGCAGCAGCATCCGCAGTTGTAGCAGCAGCAGCAGCAGCAACATCGCAGACCCG